CATTAGAGCTGGGATCAAAGCTAATTTTCTTCTGCCATTAACATGGAAAGAAACCCCATCATTTCTCCTACAAAAAACTTCCAATCACTGCAGTCCCTCTTCTTCGTATCCTTCTGTATTTTCATTTGCCCATTTCATTAGGAAAAGACTCTACCAGAAGAGCCAAAGAGAAGCAGCTAAAGCCAATAAGAATGTGCTGAAGTGCTTGGCTGGACAGCAGCCATCACAAGCCTGGCATGTGCTCCTCAGAGGGCATTTCTCAGCATCCACTGAGATGCAAGCAGCTGGTGTGAAGGGGTTAAGAGCTCCTCACCATCAGGAATGGACCCTCAGGAGTCCAAAAGTGGATCCCAGAGAACTGTACCAGCTCAGGCTGAGGGAAGGAATGAGAAAGCAGCTTTCTACTCACCATTAACAGTGAGTCGGGCCTTGCTGGAGTAGGTAGAGCCGAAGTGGTTGGTGATGATACACTGGTAACGCCCCTCGTGGGCAAAGGTGACGTGGCGGAGGTGCAGAATGGTGGTGTACTCCATCACCTCGCCATCCTTTGCCCGCACGTGGGCAAAGTTCTCAATCTCAGCATTGTACAGCATCTCGTTGTCCTTCTTCCATGCAAACATCATGGGGGAGCTGCTACTGCTGGCAGCTGAACAAGTGAACCGGATGTCCTTCCCAAGGACAGCCACTGTTGTCTCAGGCTGGGTGGTGATCTGTGGCGCACAGCCACTGTTGTCTCAGGCTGGATGATGATCTGTGGCTTGGGGAAGTCATCTGAAAGAAAAGAGCATTGTCAAGCACTGGAACAGGAGTCACCATCCCCCTGGGGTATTATAAAGACGTGTAGATGTGGCACTTAGGGACATGGTTTAGTGGTGGACTTGGCAGTGCTGGGTTAATGGTTGGACTCAATGATCTTAAAGGTGTCTTCCAACCCAAACGTCTCTTAAGATTCCCTGCAGCATATGGACTATCAAAGCAGAAGCAGCTGTATTTGCCTGTCACCCATCTGGGGTGGAAAGCTTTGCACACTCTGTCTCTGCCCTGAAGATTGTTGGTTTTAGCAAGGTTCCAAGCAGATTCATTTATTAGATTTCTACAAATGGTGTAATTTAATATTTGACTAAAGCTTAATTAAGCAGCCAGGCCTCTGGAAGCAGGAGCACTAGTGCCTGGAGGACTTGGCAGGCGCTGGAGAAGCAAAGCTGTCTTTGCTTTGTGACGTTGCTGTGGGGATGGAGCCTTCACACTATCTCCTTCCAGATGAACACAGCAAGCCTCCCAGGCTCGCTCAGAGGCCACCTAGGCAGAGCCCTGCCACTCTGGGATCAAGAGGGACACGGCACAACACCCCGAACAAAGCTTTCGCTCCATGCTCGATGCCAGCCATGCATTCCACTTAGTTAAACAGTGTTTTCAAAGGCTCAGTTTTCCTTCATTAACCAGCCATGTGCAGCTCCACCCAGGATCCACACTGGTTGGCTCCACAGCACAGGGCTTGGCTCACCAAACCTGGCCCTCATATTCCCCAAAAGCTGGGTGCATGAGCAGCAGCACTGTGGCCTCCTCTGATCACTTACATTTCTGACTGAGAGAGGTCACAGAGGTTTGTGTGTGATGGGTATTAAGTAAAGCTGCTTTGCAACCACAGCTCAGATGCAGAGTGAACTGCAAGTGTCTGGGTGGGAGAACAGCAGTAGGTGCAGCTTAGAACTAAAACCAACCACAGGAGAAAAGAAAAGCAGATTATAATGTCAGCTGTCAGTTGGTTCATGTGTAATGCTTTACTGGTCCAAAAAGGAGCTATGATGGAGAGATTCTCTTCTACTTTTTCTAACCCTTTGTTATTTCCAAGAGGGAGAAAAGCTGAGTGAGGAACACGAAGCCACAGAAGCAGCTCAGAACACTGCAGAGTGCAAAAGCTACAGCTGCAGTCTTGGGAGTATCAAACCAAGGGAAATCTCTGTGCAGCCCCATCTGGAACTGGAACAGGGATTAGTCCCTTTTGACTGAATACTCCAGGAGCCCTGTGAGGAATACCCTGGATGCAAGCAATGGGCTGTGTGGTTTTGGTGGGAAATAAATTGTAGCCAATGACAAATTTCTAAAGTGCAGGCTTGGGCTTGCTTTGATCCCATGGAATAACAAACCAAAACAGAATCCCTCTCGGAATAACACACCAGTAGGCAAAGGAAATGTTTCCCAAGTGACTCCTGCCCTTTGCACAGGCTCAGAACAGAGGCAACACTTACCACACACAAAACTTTCTGGCAGGATGGCAAAAATGCTCTTGCTTTTCAGTGACTCGGGATGGGCGCAGGTGGCCACCACGAAGGATTGCAGCTCCTTCTCCACTAACCACTGGGGCAACCATTTCAGCTGGCAATCGCAGAGGAAGCTGTCGCTGTTGATGTGGCTGCAGGGGAACAAAACCCACACGAGCCTGCTGTGAGTCCTGCACAGACACTGCTCACAGCCCTTTCGTGTTAGACACATTCCTCGCTCCCGTCCCCAGCATGGGTGGAAGGGAAGAAAAGGCTGCAGGGTTGCTGTCCTCAAGGCACTAATGATGTTAAATACACACCACATTTAAACAGCATTTCATCTCCACACTGAAAAAACATTCCCTAGTGCCCTATATTTATTAACCAATTTCCAGAGTGATCCCCAGAACAGAAAAGCAATGCCATCCCTGGCTGCAGTGAGAGACATGTACCAAGGAGGCATGCAGTGGAGGCACAAGTCAACAGTACAGCTCGTCCTGCTCCCACTTCTCACACCTAATCACAACACATGCTCCTCCACCTCTGTGGTTTGAGCATCTGTGGTGAGAAATGAATTCAGGACTTAAGTTACTGAACAGTCGTCCTGAACAGAGCAGGACATTAAGACCCTCTCTCCATGGTAAAAAGGTTCCTTCACAATATCCCACAAGAAATCCCACAAGCTCTTCTCTAGTAAGACTAATCTTTCACCTCAATTTTGTTTCAAGAGCCATTGCAAAAGATAAGGTGGTTAAACAAACACTGGACATGCAATGTTTGTCTTATTCCTCCCCCACTCACTGGTATTAAATGTCACTATTAACAGCAACCACCTGATTCCCATTTCCAACATCGGGAAGAAGAATCTGAACCTGCCCAAATACCAAATCAGTGATTTCTTGTTCCACAACCATTAGACTGCTCCAGAGTGTAGCAATGCACTGACAGTGGATTAAATATTTATGGCAAAGAAGAGAAAAGGAAGCAGGGCAAGACTGGAAACAGTGTCTGATAACAGTGCAGAGCCCCGGCCTGGAGCACAAGCTCTAATAACACATCCGTATTTCTACACCAGAAGGCTGGATGACAAGTGGATCCAGTTCAAATGGTGCTTATCACTGAAATGTCAGTCCTGTCTGTGAACCCTAAACACAGGTACAGCAAAGGAGCAGAGGGGCCACTGGGAATTAAATCAGTGGCAGTATGAGAAGGGGATGGCCAACAGGACCAGGGCTGGACTTCCTGAGCGGAGATGAATAACTGCACAGATGCAAACGTGCTGGGAGAACCTGCTCAATGATCCAATTTCACTCACTATTAAATGCAAGATGTTCCCGTGACATCTATCTACTCCTGTGTAAAAATACCCTGCAATGTGGCTAACTCCCCATTGGAAACAACGTGCTACCTCTCACGTCCAGGGCAAGAAGGAGCCCTGCACGTTACTGGTGTGCCCCGTCCAGTTACTTACAGCTGCCGCAGGCTCTTCATCTTGGCAAAAGCATCTGCTTGAATGGAGCGGATGGCGTTGTCCCCGAGGTTGCTGCAGAACACGACCAAAGGCAATGTGAACAAAAGGGGTGCTATGCCTGTGGGAAAGGCTCTCCAGATCTAAGCAGTGACTCCAGCAGCAGGCAATTTAGTCACTCCCTGTTAAGGCCATCTGTACTTGCAGCTCATAGGAATGGTTTTCCAACAGGACACTTTAATATTGAGTATTGCTGAACAATAGGCAACCAACAAAATATATGGGAATGAATCGCTAAGTCATTCCATACCCCATCTTCTCTCTACGCTTCCTCAGACTCAGCTACCTCCATCATCCATAGCTCAGAAATTCCTCAGCCCCCTCGATAACCAAAGATAGTCAGGAATGTCGTATCCCAGGCTAGACCTTCAGCAAACATAAAGAAAGCAAATACTTGCACTAAACGGCATCTGAGAAGTTATTTGAAAGTGACTTTGAGGGGATACAGTGTCTGAAAAGCACTGCGATGCTTCCAAAAGGAGGTGCTCTTAAAGGCTTCCCTCACAACCATTGCTGACTGAAAAACTCAGTTGTCTTCTGAAAAAAGACAGCATCAGATTTAGGGCTCAGGTGCAGGACAGACAAGCACTGCTTGCAGAGGAAATCTCAGCAGAGTACTAAAGCAAGGGAACCTCTATCTGGGAATGTACCCCCCAAGCCAGGCAGCCCTAACCCTTCAGTATGCTCTCAATGGTCATCACATTTCAGTAGCCAATAAAACATCTACAGCAACATCAGCTGTACTTTAACTTGGCCCAATTCTGAAAGGAGATTATCCACAAATTACTTCCTGGAGTCACCAGTCTTGGGGCACAGGAAAGAAATTACATCCCAGAAGCCAAAATGTACCTCTTGCAAATCACTGTAAGGCAGTTTGTGCTCAATGGGGACATTTGGAGCCTGCACCATAAGCAGTCATGTACAAGATGTGTCACTGCCAGAGCCTACATTCAGGAGGAAGTTGGGGCAAGGGAGGAGGAGAGAGGGCTATGTCTGCAATAGGGTATTTTCACTGCTAACAGCCTGCAATACGCAAGTCAGGGGGATATTTATCCAGGAACAAATCACAAAATTAAGAGCATGCAGATTTGCCATATGTTCTGTAACTTTGTTCCTGGCACAAAAAAAGGCCAAAGTTGAGGCGGACTTATAATGAGAAGGAAGCAGGTGGCCCCCACAAATGGACTGGCTTCTCAGCTTACAAAGACACTATTAAATTGCTAGCAGATCTCTCAAGCAGCTACTTTTGGCAGACCCCCCTTCCCAAGCTCTGCGGCGTGGTGGGTTACTCACAGGTGCTCCAAGGCCTCCAACCCTGAGAACGCTTTCTTGGCCACCGACTTGATCTTGTTTCCAAACAGAGTTCTGTGGTTTCCAAACATCCAGTGCCAGATAAACAGAAAGAAAATGGGGAGAGGGGGGCAGAAAAAAGAAGGAACACAATTAGTGGGGCTTTATCTGATATACGCGCTCAGTGTAAGTCCTGGGAAATCTGAACTGCGTGGAGATTAAGAGGGCTGAAGTACACTCGCTTTCCCGCTCCTGAAATTAAATCCCTTTATCTGTATTTGAATTTAATAGTGATGACAGCACAAAAGGGAATGTGCCGTATCATGTAAAAAGGCAGGTTTGCTCCAGTGCTTGGAAACCAGCTTGCTGAGTAACAGAAGGTCCCCTCTATTCTTTGGAGGCTGGCTGAGGACAGGATTAAGTGCAGTGACAGTTTAACAAGATTCTGGTCTCTCCCTGCAACACTTTTCATTTCTGACTTCTTCCCAGATAGTAAAAGAGTGGTAATTTATTCACTGCTGCTTGGCCTGAGCAGACATCCACACACCAGGGCTGAGGGCTGGCTCTTGGCTGCACGTTTACACAGCAGCTCACTGAAGTGACTGCTGACTTCCTTCCTTGGCTTATTATAAATACAATACCAGAGTAATAGAATCACAGAATGGTTTGGGTTGGAAAGGACCTTAAGATCATCCAGCTCCAACCCCCTGCCATGGGCAGGGACACCTCACACTAGACCATGTCACCCAAGGCTCTGTCCAACCTGGCCTTGAACACTGCAAAGGACTGGACATTCACCACTTCTTTGGGCAATCTGTTCCATCGCCTCAGCACCCTCACAGTAAAGAACTTCTTCCTTGTGTCTAACCTGATAATACAATATATACAATAATATATACAATAAATAATAGCCAATTTCAAGGGGCAAAAAGAAGGAAAGCTACTGTACAGAGCTGAGGAGCGTGCCTGCTTGCATCTGTGACCAGGCAGCATTCCTCTGAATCAGCACAGTGCTACGCAGCAGCAAGAGAAGAGGGGGACTTACCAACAGGCAAGAGCCAGCTGGAACCATCTGAGCCCAGCTGCTATCTGCAGAGTAACAGTTCTCTATAAATATTGACCAGTGGTGATCAGTCAAGGGCAGGGCCCAAGCAAAATGGACAGTGTCCTCAACTGCTTTAATAAAACATCAACTGCTGTCATCAACTGGGACATGCTTTCCTGCCCCAGGTTCTCTCTGTCTCAAGTTTAGCTTCCAGGTGCATCTTTTCTCACCTACATGGTGTCCAGTGCAAGTCATCACTAACACCTCAGCTTAAAACCTGCACATCTGGTGCTGCATTTGATTTGACTTTTCCTTCAAGACTTTTCCTTCGAGAGAGCACAACCTCTATCTGCAACCCTAAAAGACTCTCTAACTATGATGGTCCCACTGCTTGCTACTGGCTGGGGTGCAAGGTGAAGCATGTGCAGCCACTATATGAGCAAATACATTTGCAGAAGCTTGTTGGGGCTCTCCACAAAGCACCCTTCCAATGTCAGGATAATTTGGTGTCTCAACACTGGCACCCAGAAAGCCCAAATTCTGTGTGGATGAAGCAGTGGGTAGAAAGGAAAATTAGGGCTTATGACACGGTTACGACAGTGAGGAGTGAGACTGTTTCACAGTCTCTCCTTGCAGCCTGTTGCCTTTGGAGGGAATTTGGGTGCCTTCCACTGGGCAACACTATGAGCCCGAGTAGGTCCTCACAAAACCAATCACCCTGATGGTGATATCACCAGATAAGCCACCACTCTAATGCTTGAGTAGACAGGAAACTTGGTTACTCTTAGCTCCACACAAAAGGCCTGCAGCCCCAGAATCACTGATCTTACAATTCTAGAGCAAAACACAACCAAAAGATTTGGCTTGAGGCAAAGTCATGTCCCAGCCTTCATAGAAGACACACACTTGAAGCCCTATCCTATGGGCAGAGTCCTATTTACTACAGTGTGCGCATGTCTTTTGCTCTGGGTGAAATCCCCCAAGCACCAAAAGGATGTGTACCATCATTTGGTAAAAGGAATGTTGTATTAATGAAGGCTTTGAAATATCCATCAGAATGATTGATATAGTAGATAATTTACTATATGCAAACGCTGGTAGGTGCCTGCATCCATACACACCAATTTCTGGAGCCATATTCCTAAATGAGGGTGTCATGCTGAGCTTGGGTTTGGTAACTGGAGATTTCCATTTCTTGTTTACAGTGGATCTCTGAGTCTGAAAATTGGAGACACTAATTTTATCTGTCCATTTATCTGTGCAGACATAAGCAGGATGTCTGGGGATGTGACTACACCATGTATACACCACTTGTGCACGAGGCGTATATTTGATGGCTCTATACCTGAGAAATGCCTAACACCGGTAACAAAGCCATGCCCCAACAAACTCATTAAAATCATTATTCAACTAACCACTTCTCCCATTCTGGAATGGTTTGAACCCAGCGGCCCCCTTCAAAGGGCTGTGGCAGGTTGGAATGCAAAGGCAGTGGTATGCAGCTCCACAATGAGCCTGCTGCAGCCCAGGAACGCTCCTCTGCTGTGGGCAGAGCCAGGCACAAGCCTGCTCTCCCGGTGATTGCATAAGTGTAATTACACGCTAGGCACGCAGCAGCTCATTAGAAAGCAGCATTTTCTCCTCCAGCCAGTTTTGCACCTGCAGGAAGAGCTCAGGCACTGAGTGAGCCATCAACAAAGCGGTTACGTTTAGCAGCTTGAATCATTAGGGAACTGGTCCTTCCCCGGCGATTCCACTGCTGCTTTTTCTGCTTCGGTGCCTCTCGACTCCCTCTTTCTGGAAGCAACATTTTAATTTAGGCCTGTGCTCTCCATCCCAGGGAGCTTCATAGATAATTGAGGGAAGGCTGAACGGACTGGCCTCCCCACCTCTCAGTTTAACACCTTCATTTCAGCCAACAAACCTCTCTGTGCTAAATCCTTTCAGAGGCTAATCTGTGCCACATCAAAGGGGAATGGCTTTTAAGGCAATCTCCACAGAGCTGAGGTGATTATTAATTCATTGGAAGGTCTCCTCTGAAGTGCCCATTTATTTTCTCTACGCTAATGCATTTAAAGCTGGTTGACAGTTTAAACACAGGCCCTAAATCACCCCGTGAAATGTTTGTTGTAAAGGCGGATATTTTATTTACCAGCAAGAAGGATGCTCACTTCAGCCTGAGATGAAACTGCAAGTTTGGGATTTACATGCAGATGAGCTAAACCAGACGTGAGCAGATCCCTTTAAAAGTGATCACTCCCAAGTGTCCCCAAAACACCTCAAGAAATACAATGAAGTGATCTCATATTCCAAGGGTTTTTCTAGCCTTACACTCTGGCTGATGAGGAACGATCCCAGCAACCTGTCTGCCCCACACAGGTTTGCTCTGTTAGACAATCAAACCAGCTAGATGATGAAGATGTCCTTTCCAGCCCTAACTATTCTTTGATTCACTCCTGTCTGCCCAAGACCAACCTGATCCACACGCTCTTC